ACAAAAAAAAAAAAAAAAAAAAGATACTTTGAAAGGCAAGGAGAGGGACCTGCAGTTGGTGTAATGGCTATGTCGCTGTACTCCTATGTTGTCGACTATGGTTTGAGTCCTGGACCCGGTGGCTTAAATTCAGGCTGGGTGCATGTGTGTGCATGCCCGTGATGGTGAGAGGAGAAGGGAGGAGAAGGGATTGTGGCATGGGTATCCTCTCTGGGGGGTGATTTCTCGCTTTCTGTCTCTTTGTCCCTCTCTGTCTTTCTGGCTAGTGCACACACCCTATACAAAAACCTCTAAAAAAAAAAAGAAAGGCAAAGAGGAACCTTTTTTATGAAAAAGCTAGGCACTATTGTAAGGAATATAGGCAAATATACAGAACATGGCCAGGATGGCAACAAAAGCTGGCAACTTCTATGAACCTGGAGAACCCAAATTGGTGTTTGTCATCACGATCAGAGGTGTCATTGGAGTGAGGTTCAAAAGGTGTTGTAGTTTCTTCGTCTTCGTCAGATCTTCAGTGGCACCTTGTTAGCCTCAACAGGCCTCAATGTGCTGAGAATTGTGGAACCATATATTGCATGGGGGTACCCAAACCTGAAGTCAGTAAATGACTTAATCTACAAGCGTGGTTATGGCAAAATCAATAAGTGAATTGTTTTGACAGATAACTCTCATTGTTCAATCTCTTGGTAAATTTGGCATCATCTGCATGGAAGATCTGTTGGAAAATGCTTCAAAGAAGCAAATAACTTCCTGTGCCACTTCAAATTATCTTCTCCACGAGGTGGAATGAAGAAAAAGACCACCCATTTTGTAGCAGGCGAAGATGCTGACAACAGAAGACCAGACAGACTTATTAGGATTAGGATGCACAAGGTACCCACCATGATTATTTTGCAATCTGGTAAGTAAATAAACAGTGACTGTTTCCAGACAAATAAATAAATAAATACAGCTTTACTACTGTTTTTTGCAAAATGCTAACTGCATTTGTTCCATGTTTCCAAACATATTATTTCACTGAGTATTTTATAACAAGTTCACTGAAGCAAAATGTAATTTATTTAATTTTATATTATTTTTCAATTTGCTATAGGGTATGTGCGCTTACCAGAGAGAGAGAGATAAAGCAAGCCACCAGGTTTGGGACTTGAACCATTGCCGTCCACGTGAAAGTCCAGTGTCTTAACCACCGTGCTACCTGCTGGCCCCTGCAAAATGTAATTTAAATCTGGGACCTGACCACAAGTATGTACTTGTGGAAGAAGAGATGTGGGCTAGGAGCCTGAGTGATGATACCCCAAACAAGGAGTTGGTACAAAAAAAAGAGATGGAGCAGAAGTCCATACAGGATCTTTGAATATCTCCAGCTCAACAAACATGATTTTGATGTACTGTTACTGTCTCCATTGCCAGTAGATATTTGGATATAGCACAGGTGTGTTGCCATCAAAATTACATAATTTTAATTTTAAGCACTGGTTTATACATACTTCCTCATGGAGAAATGGAGGCCTAAGACGTTTCACTTTTTCTATTATAAGTACCTTTTTAGAAATAGCCTTAAAATTAGATAAAAGTTCTGAGTTTTAGTACAAAGAATTTTTCTCTTTGAACCATTTGGAATGAATTGCTGACATTAAGCTATCATCCCTCATCACTTTCATGTGTGTTTTCAATAAATCAGGACATTCAACATGACTATAATTCAAACTGCATAATCAGAAAATCAACACTATTACATTTGATCATTTACTCTTCAGAAGATTCTTTTCAGGTTTTGCTACTTACCTATAGTGTCCTTTACAGCAGCAGTCCCCAACATTTTTTGGCACCAGGGACTGGTTTTGTGGAACACAGTTTTAAATTTTATTTTAATTTTATTATTATTTTCCAATTTGATGAGAGAGAATGAGAAAGGAAGCCACCAGGTCCAGAACTTAAACCATGGTTGACCATTTGGGTCAACCAGTACCTTTAACCACCATGCCACCTCCCAGACCCAGAAAGACAATTTTTTCACAGACAGGGATGAAGGGTTTCAGAATGATTGAAACATGTTACTTTTTTTTTTTGGAGATTTTTGCTATAGGTCATATGCACTCACTGAAGAGATTACTGAAGAGACAGAGACAGATGGACACAAGAATCACCCCCCCCCGGGGGGGGGATGACACCACAGTCCCTTCTTCGCCATTTTCCTCTCAGGATTTTGACCATACATGCACATGTGCCTGTTATGAATTTCGAGCTACCAGGTCCAGGACTTGAGCTGCGGTTGGCCGTGTCCTGAGTTCAGTGACAGAGGAAAAGAGCCATCTGCTGGTCCCCAAACATGTTTTATTCATTGTACACTTTGTTTCTATTGTTACTACATTGTAATATATAATGAATTTATTATGTAACTCACTATAATGCAGAATCAGTGGGAGCCCTGCTTTTTTCCCTAGATGGTCTCTTCTGGCAGCTCCTGTGAGAATCTAATGCCACTGGGGGTGGAGCTCAGGCAGTAATGAGAGAGGTGGGCAGTAGCTGTCAAACATGAAGTTTCGCTTACTCGCCTGCTGCTCACCTCTGCTGTGTGGTCTGGTTCCTAATAGGCCATGGACTGGCACCGTGGCCTAGGGTTTGGGACCCTTGCTTTACAGCAAAAGGGTGTATAGGTTGTATTTTGTTGTATGCTGCCGGAGACCTGCTCCAGCCAGGGTAGTTGAGGCTCATACACAGGAAGGCGACGCAGGCGAGAAGGAATCAGACTGAGACCTCAATGCTCTTCAGCATGTTCTCAGCTGACTACAGTCAGAGCAAGCTCAAGACTGCAGCCTCAGTGGCTATCAAACATATGTATTTATTGAGGGATGTTTTATAGAAGCAGGAGGGGTGAGGGGAAAGAAAGATTTTACTGTAAAAAACGGTATTCAAAACATGACAATAACAAAAACATGTTTGTTCTGTTTGATCAGGTATAAACAGTTACAGTCCTCAGGGTAACAAATAGGATATTCAAAACTTGGGAATAACAGTCATAAAACATGTTGTCTGTTCTGTTTGATCAGGTATAAACAGCCCCAGTCCTTCGGGCGAGAGAGTCCATTTGTCTTCTTAGATCTTTATTACCAGGTAGAGTCTTTTGGGTGTGGGGGTTTTCAGCAAGCTTGATAACTTCAGTCCCAGGCCTAAACAGAAATCTTATTTGTTTAAGTAAAAAACAGTGGAACATCTATATTATCTTTGGGGTAATCTACAGCTAAGAGGGTAAACCTAATGTCTGCATGGGAAAGGAATGTGGTCTTGTGAGCAGCTTAATGACTGTCCTAAAAGTTATTGTGTACATGTGGCTCTGAGAGGAGCTTCAGCATTCTTTGTTATTTTCCAGGCAGGTGGGATGAGTCTCAACTCCCATTTGCCACCGCTTTAGGAGTCCGCATTCTTTTAGGATTAGTAGTTGGTTTTACTGTAAAAGTTACAGTAAGGCTGGGGTGTTATTTTGCTCTTACAGAGTATCGGGGTACCATAATGACAGTAAAGCCCATGACAGAGAAATACAGCAAACACAGTTTGAAAGCCTGAGCTCACAGCTGTGGGCTTGCCTATGGCTCTTCTCACCCAAGCCTTGCTTAGACGTGAGAGCTCTTTTAGACTCTGCCTGTGTTGGCTGGTCTCCGCCAGTATGCCTTTTTTTTTTTTTTAAGGTTTTGCCATAGGGCGGTTGTGCTCACCAGAGAGGAGAGTGAGAAGGAGAGTGAGAATCACTCTCCAGGATGGACGGTCATGCCACAATCCCTTCTCCTTCTGGGATTTTGGGCATCCACACACATTATGCCTGGTGTGATTGTCAAGCCATCAGGTCTGGGACTTAAAATGTGGTCACCATGTGG